ATAATAATAATAATAATAATAATAATAATAATAATAATAATAATAATAATAATAATAATAAACAACTATAGCAGACTGAAGTTCAATAGATAAATCTCTTCTTTCATTGTTGGATTTATATGCTAAGAAAAATTGTGCTATTGATTCTGAGCGTATCATTCACATCTTTAAGATTCAAGAGACTAGCTAAAATAAAGTGTGCTCGCAACTCAAAATGCTTCTTTGCCGATGTTTCTGTGAATATCACTAGACTACAATTTTCCATTTTTCTGAATATGAAATAATTACACTACAGATGTTTTAGGATTTATGGACCAAGGTATTGATGATTACTCAGTACATTGTGGGTAAGTAGTTCAAGGCTAAGTACAATTTACTAACCCAGCCAAGGATGCCTTCCTGTTCAGTCCTCAGGCTCAAAATATTCTTCTTCTGAACTACCTCTGTTCATAGAGACTATCCTCCCTCTCTCTTGCCCTACATTCCCATAATGCTGCAGAAGGCATGTCAACCATGTCAAAACTCATTACTCTAGTTTCTCAACCTCAGCAACTTTAAGTGATGTGAACTGAAACTCGCAGAATTCCCTAGCCAGCACACTGCCTGGGGAATCCTCTTAAAAGTTGCTGAGGTTGAGAATTGAATTACTATGTAGTACAGTTTTACATACCAAATAGCTCCAGCCTGGGAATATGGGATTCATCCATTGTCTCTAAAGAATTTCAATTTCAGATGATTGAGGCAACAATAGTTCTTCCTAGCATCTCACCTAACCTCAAATCTTGCTTTTGCAGGAGCTCTCCACAGTTCTGATCCGTCACTCTTTGATCTATATACCTTTGCACACTTCCTAATTCACCTCTCCCAACTTGGTATTTTCCTGATGTACACAGAATACAGGTCAGCATGTCAGCTTGGAAAGCTGGAAGTTACAGTCCCAACATGTGTGCAAGACACAAATGTGAATGAAGTAATAATAAAAACACCTCCAATTGAAGGGATAAAGCAAGAAAATACATTTATTTGAACCAGGAGAAAGGAAGTGGACTCTTAAGAGTGTGGCTAGCATTTTGAAACAGATGCAAGTGGAATTGCAATTTATAAGTACATAGAAATAAATATATTTTTGCTGAACTCTCAGTATATGATTTCCCCACAATATATTGAAGTAAACTGGCCTGCCACTCATTAGATTACTTTTCTGTGTACTCCTACATAGTGTAGTTAATTTATGGAGATGCGGAAAATTGTGGTTCAATGATTAACATAAGCAAGTTAACCACAGGGAAAGCTACTATTGAGAAAATGGGTGAACAAGCCCATTTAGAATCAAGTAAAAAATAATTTCATTACATTGGGAATTGGAAGATCCATTTCACATTTGGAAATGAAAGAACTATCCACAAAACGTATCAAGAAACACTTTGCAATGGGTCGCTCACGATTCCTTAGAGGATGTGTGTATTTTGCCTTAAGTTCTACTGAATTTACAGGGTTTGGGTAAGGTGTTTCTAACAGTGCCTTAACATGGTGTTTTTAATTGATTTTTCTATTTTCCATTTGTTTGTTCATCTACCAGATTTCCAATGGTAGGTGGACAGCCATCCATACTTACTGAATAATTTAAGGAATAGGTAAATTGTATTAAGTTGAATATTTGGAACATATCTGGAACACACACACACACACACACACACACACAGATTTAGATTGGCCCCAACTCTGTCAGCTTTTTTGTAAAGCATTTAAAACATGGACGTGCTCCAGGACCCAGGGACTGTGAGATTAAATGACCCCTTGATAAGGTTTTGTAAATAGTTTTGTTTGGCTTTTACCCTCAGGGACCACTGTCAGTGCTTACCTTTGTTAATATTTTAAAATTGATTTTAATGTATTGTTAGCTGCCTAAAGTCACATTTACTAGAGGTGAAACCTATAAATCAATTAGATAAATCAATATTTATCTAATATACAAGCTAAAGGTCGCAAAAGGGAATTGTGTGACCCCAGGACACTGCAATCGTCATAAATATAAATCAGTTGCCAAGCACCTGAGTTTTGATCAAGTGATCACAGGGATGCTGCTATAGTTGTAAGTGTGGAAAAAGGACATAAGTCCCTTTTTTCAGTGCGGTTGTAACTTTGAACGGTCACTAAATAAACTGTGGTAAGTTGAGGACTACCTGTACTAGCATCATTCATTACACCTCTCCATACTTTGTATTGTTGCACATATTCTTGCTTCCAACCACTGCTTCAAACAATACCATCTACTCTTAAATTTTCTGACTTTTTTTTTTGAGGACCTCATGGACACTGTCCAGCTACAACTTTTGACCCATTTATTCGTCCTTCCTTTCTTTATTTTTGCAATTCAGTCCTTAATTATTCTAATTGACCAAATCTTTGCAACATACTAAGTTGCTCATTTTTGTATTCAATTGACATTCATTCATTCAGTACCTATTCAATATTAAACCCATCTCTTCCTTTTTATGACACATACATACTATTTAAGTACCTTCCACATTCAATATGTAAGTTTCTCCTGATACATCCATACAACAAAGTGAACAGAAGTATGTTCTTAAATGCACAAATCTTGGTTAGTTTGGGAAAACACAGTTTTCTCAGTACATATAACATGTACGTGTATAGTATATATAACATGTACTATTTGCAATCTTTACATTGAAATAATGACCTTTATAAAGATCGATTGACTGATGTTACTGATTGGCTGATGTTAATCAGTCAATACTTAATACCATTCTTAACATTTCTCCATCTATTTCACCATATTTAATAAACCCCATCTTATTTTTTTCTTCACATACTACTACTACTAAAGGGTTAACAAGTGATTTCCTCCCTTAGTTCCTGGTTCATATCCTAAATGGGTATTCCTTGGAAACATCTCACATAGCTTTCACTGGCCCATAATGACTGAGCATTATGGAATTTGTAGTCCAGTGTATCTGAAAAATACCAGCTGAAGAAGGCTGATGTAACATATCCAACATAATATCTCCAATCTATAATAATAAAATGCAGAATGAGATTATTAATTT